CCCTGACTCTTGCACCCCCCCACACATCCCCTCTCCCACCCTGAGCACCAAACGGGAGCTCCTGCAAACACCACCCCCCACATTCCCACCTGCACCCCCGGTCTGGAGTCCCAGCTGCCGGCCCCGCTCAGCCTGCTGCAGGTCTGGGGTCCCGGCTGCCAGCCCCTTGCCAGCCGGGATCCCGCTGGTCCCACTCAGCCCGCTGCCAAATTAGGTGAACAGAACCCCAGGCAGGCAGTGGGCTGAGTGGGCCGGCGGCATAAGATCAGCATTTTAATTTAATTTTAAATTATGCTTCTTAAACATTTTGAAAACCTTGTTTACTTTACATACAACAATAGTTGAGTTATATAATATAGACGTATATAGAGAGAAAAACGTTAAAATGCATTACCTGCATGCGAAACCTTAAGTTAAAGTGAATGAGTGAAGACTCGGCACACCACTTCTGAAAGGCTGCCGATCCCTGCCATAGACATTTCTAGTTTAAAAAAAATCTTGCAATTTTTTGTACTATTGCTGTCTGTGGAGTTTTCTAAATACACAAGTGACTGCAGTTAAATAATCACCGTTTCTTTAAGGAAATTGAGTCACTCAATTTGAAAACAAGACTTAAACACTGGAAATTTTCAGCAATAGGTGAGGTAGGCAATTAGCTCCTTTTGGACAACTAATTTAATTTCATTTTCTAACTTTACTTTCCAAAGTGCAGAGAAAGACTATACAGTATACACTTAGAATACAAAAGAATGAATGCTGGTAACTGTTATAAATGAATGTGTGAAGTGTTATTAATTAAGTTTTAAGGATATTTTAGCCTTATTTGTCCACCACCTACGTTCTACATAATAGCTGTGAATTTTACTACTGAACCTTCACAGCTGAGTAGCTGTGTGTGTTCATAATGAGTTTCTTCAAGCTGCAGAGAGTGCTAGTTTCTAGACGTGCTAGAATTAAAATCAAGATCTCAAATGTATGTAAATTCACTGCTCTGAACAGATTCCCCGGAATAGCACAGTTCATTAAAAACAAAAATGCTCAACCTACCTTGTATGTTTATTTCAGCTCTTTAAAAAAAAAAAGACACAAAACCAATAGCTTATATGAATATCCATCATGCGACATGTCATTTATACAAAAATAATGTGTTGCCATCTTCAAGAACTGAGAGTGCATATAAAGCTCCAAAAGGGATCTACTATCTATGCTGATTTATATCTAGCAATGTCGTCTGAATTATGCAGTTTAAAAATCTGATTCTATTTCAGAAATTCCCCAAACCCTTACCTCCATTGATTGAACTTTGAAAAATTACAATAGGAAAACATCTCTGGAGGAGCCTTTGACCTTGACTTGAGAAATTCAATTATATTCATTTTTCCCTATATAATTTTAAAGAATTTTTAAGAGGCGAGAGTACAAACCTTAATGCTGCTCATTATCTCTTGAAACATATGCTTACAAAAGCAAGATGCATCAGTGCCATGTGATAGTATGACATTAAGATTTGTTTAAATTTTCAGAAAGCCAAAGCAATGATTTAGTATAGACAATGTGCTCATGACAACGTCAGTTAGGTAATCCTGCAGGTAATTAGATATGCAGAAGGGCAAAATAATCTTAATACAAATCTAAGGATACATTCTCAGCTTGATACAAAGTGAGTTGCAGATATGAATCTCCATAAATTGCCACTAGAGCACATGATAAGGGCATGGGGTCCAAGGAAAAAGCAAATATCATCACTGAATAATGATAGTGACAGCACTAAGATGTTTGAAAGGGAAGATTTGTCACTATTGTTAAATATTGTTCAGACACAAGACATTAATCTTGCTACCAAATGTGTTAAGTGAAAGGTTAATTTAATTCACATACAATGTCACATGCTGTTCTTTCATGTCTCATCATGCTAACATTTTAGTTCTATTAACTCCTTCATGCAGACAGTGTTGATTTCTTGGCATACTTCCCATTACATGTCAGTAATGTCAAGTTCTTACAACAGAATATAATCCTATTGTTAATTCATCCATTTTTTGTGTTGTGAAGCGTAAGTTGCACTTATGAGATCTTGCATATGTTCAGCAATACCCAATCTTGACTCAGGAATTACATATTTTAATAGTTTTGACTTTTTAATGGTTGAATAACAACAAGTGGCCTGATTATCAAAGGTGCTGACCCCACAGAGGTACAACTGATGTCACTGGGAGGGATGATCACAGTCTTTTGAAAAAATGGGGCTATAAGTACATTAAGATGTTACAAAGTAAGAAAAACACCTCCCAATGATTCTGTAGCAGTTGTTGAAAAATTGTTTCAATATCAACGCTAAGAAACTATTATGTGCCAAAAAGACACTCCTCCCCCCCAAAAACCTCCCTATGTCCCTGTATGACTTATCACCCACTGTTCCTTTACATCCAATGCAGTGTCAGAAGAACTATAAGGATATATGTCATAGATCTCTGGTTTCTTGGGACAGCAAGGTCTGGGAAATACGGTAAGGGCAGTGTTCTCCATTGTTAGAAGAGTGAGACCTCTTTGGCCAGTTGAAGAATGTCAAATTACAACAAATATCCTTGAGACAAGGTGGGTGAGGTAACATCTTTTACTGGACCAACTTCTGTTTGTACCTTGTGGTCCCTTCTAATCCTCTGATTCTATGATTCTGCTGGTGAGAGAGATAAGCTTTAAAACTACTCAGAGCTCTTCACGTCTGAGAAAGGTACTAAGGCTATGTCCACACTAGAGAGCTTACAGTGGCTGTTTTGATTAATTTTGTTCTCAACCTATTGATTTTGTGCTGAGTGCATGTTTGTTCCCTTTTGTTATTGTGTAACTCCTTCCTGACTACTCTTGGAACAAAGAACATGTGTTACAAGACGGGGTACTGTATTCTAGATGTATTGAAACAAAGAGACTTTGAGATCACGGAAAATAACCAATAGACTCTCACCTCCCTGGGCTAAAGTAATCATTGGATGCA